CCTCTATAAAGCATTCACGAGAAGCTCTGTGTTGAGCAGTGCTCCATCTTTACTATTCCCATTAATCGGTACTTTACAATTACATGGGCTGTGAGCGTGTCCCATTTTACTATTTCAATGACTCTGTGGATTTTCCTCAGTTTTCTTCTGAGCAGCAGCTTCCAGGCCCGCTGACCCACAGCTGAGTGACACAGAGGAGATAGTCATCTGGGATGAGACACCACTCATCATTCTCACGTCACAGCCCACACACACTGACAAGGCCCCTCAGACGGCACATAGCTCAAAGCTCGCAAGACGGCCAAAACGGACATCTTGTGACCAGCGACACAGTTACCAAGGCAACAAGGAGAGAAGCCATGTGCTAACTGTCTGGCCATTCTCAAATGAAGGACACCTACACAGGACATAAAGCCCACATGTGTGAACTGAAGCACAATGGCAGCGGTTGAGAGGTTTGTGTTAACCTCCACTGCACTGAGCTGCAACTTGTTTAAGAACCTCAATCTATAAATCACTCAGTCAGTCAGTGTTGGGAATTGTGTGTGTGTGTGTGTGGGGGGGGGGGGGGGGGGTGGGAGGGGAGGTGAGGGGGGAGGGTTGTTGTTGCGAACATGCTTGTTTGTGTGGTAATGTTTGACAAGTGTCTTCCGGGCAGGGTTTTTACAGTGATGACACAGAAACATTTCTCCTCTCATCTCAAGCCCCACCATGCAACATTGCAGTGGGAAAATTATTTATATTATTACAGAATGACCAAGGTATCTAAAAACTGGTGCCATCAAATCGACCTTAGACCAGCATGATGGTAAAAACCAGCCCGTCTCTTCCAAACATCCCACAACAGAGACACAGAGAATAGTGAGACAGCACTGCTTCTGGGTGGGGGGGCCTTGGTGACACAGTGGCACACAAAACACTGCTGCACTTAACAGAATCACGGCCATCATGTGAGGAGACAAGCTGCTACGTTTGGCTTCGCTCTCACGCTCTATCTTGATGGCTGTGTGAAAAATAATAGCAATAACGATGCATATAAATTACATCGGTTTGATGCTCTTGGCCTCTGCAGCGGAGAGAGGAAATTAGCACTGGAGCCTAAGCACATGCATCATTGACACCATATGTATCAATAATGCATCGAGCTCTGCTGTCGCTTCACTGCTATTTTTAAAAGGGGGGGTGGTGGCAGAAAATAAATTAAGCAGTGTCAAGCTCACACAGAGCTTGTAGCGCTGAGGTTAACATGTGTGAGACACAGCCCTCAGGGAATGGTGCAAGTGTGGCCACAATGAGACACTGAACCTGAATGGCCTTCATATCCATGCTCACAAAAAACTCTATAAAGAACACCATAGGAGAGCAGCAGCCAATCCTTTCATGTGCATCGTTATGATTATGACTAAAAGTAACATCACTGTCAAGGCAATTAACAATAAATACAGCCTCTGAAAATGCACATTAAAAATCACTTAAGCTTCACCAACAGGTGTTACTCTTGAATATCGCTGAGCCGGGGCTAAACAATACAAAACAAATGGCAATAATCAAAATGGGAATGCTCACCTTGATAAGCTAGCTTAGTAGGTACAGTAAATAGAAGCTGCCACTAGACGCGACCCTTGAACCTCAATTTGTTGTGGCAGATTGACAAAGACCTAAAAGAGGCTGGGGGCGTTCTCTTTAAATAAGACGTTGGCTGCCCTGAATGAACCGACCTTTTATCCGTTGGGTTTATCCCAATATGCACAGAGAGAAAAAAGAGAGATATATAGAGAGAGAAAATGGGGAGCTGCTTAAGCAAAGGAAATAAAATCCAGTTTTTACTTTAAGTGCCAGTGAGAGGATCATAAAAGTAGCCTGAAGCAGGAGACAGACAGATCTGGTTTAAACTGGGGATTTAAAATGGAGGTCTGACCATCCCTCCTCCCTCTTTCCCTCCTTACACAACCTGGCTAGCATAAACACACCTGAACATGCACACACAGTGCACACACAGTGCACGCACACGCACGTACACAGACACAGACACGCACATACACAGACACAGACACGCACATACACAGGCACACACACACACACACACACACACAAACTGAGCAATATTGCATCGACAATAGTGTAACACCTTTTGCCATAAACAGCGTACTGCTTCAAATGTCCTGATTTCCTTGCCTTATACAACAGGCATTTATTAATCCAGAGGTACACAAGCATACATATTCACAAGCATACACACACACACACACACACACACACACACACACACACACACACACACACACACACACACACACTTATATTCCAGTGTTTTTCACCTATTCCCTGAATGGGTGAACGAGCGGGTCCCTTCCTACACCGTAAACACAGCATTTCCATTAGAGTGTTGGGAGTGTGTTCAGTGCTCTGTGACTCAGACACTGCAGCACTGTGACTGTGTGTCTCAACCGCTGCTCTCTCTACCATCGAGCCTCAATAACATGGCCTCTGGTTTGTGCCACTTCACAGGAGCTATAGGGGCTACACAATGCTTTCTAAAGTGATGAGCTACTACAGGCGATATTCAGGGCACACAGTAACTGAGGAATTATGAGTAAATCGTTTTTTTAACAGTCCTTGCTTTCAGCCACTGATGTACATAAAACTGACACACACACCAGTATGCCCATATGATAATTTCTTCATTATTTGCACACACAGAGGCAGATGAATATGTAAATCACTTGTGAGGGGAATATGGATCCCTTGTGCTGGAAAAGGAATATGTTAATGACTGATGCAGGGTATGAGTGTTAATCACAAGTGTAGGGTGCATAAATGTGTTTAGCAATGGTGTGGGGCCTATGCAAATTAAATGCATAGGGTATAGTGGCATGTAAATCGCGCAATTCACTGACAGAAAGTCAGTGGAGTAAGAAATATAGCTGCTGGTGTAAACAAATCAAATACATTTAGAGGAAACAAGGAAAAGATCTTTGAGATGGATTAACGTGCACACATGGATTAATTCTATACTGTCTGATCCCGTCTGTTTAGCATTCGAAACCAAAATCAAGACACTGTGATAAGGGCTGTCGCAGCAGCAACAGTTGCCAGGGAAACCTGATGGCAGGATGCTGAGGCTTGGGGAGGTTGGAGGGAGGGGGGGTGTTTTATGTGAGGACATGGGGTACAATGCTCAGGTTGATTTGCTACCATTGAAGGAACACTGCCCTGCTCTTCGAGATACTGCACCTAAAAAGAACATGACTGACAAGGGGCAATGGGGTGCCTTATGAGGCGCTGATGCTGACGCCATTGGCGCATTTGTCTGAGTGTGTAGTCATGGCAACGAGGTGTTTACACAGCGCAATCGCACTCTGAACACTGTGATGGCGATGACATTCAGGAAAGCACAGACAAGTGTGAGTGAGCCTGTAAACCAGAGCAGGGCCTTTCCTGTCCCCCTGTGCAAAAATAAAGAAAAAGGAACCAGTGCTGATCATTTCACATTCGCTACGTCTCATCTCAAGCTGTGCCAAAGGGATACAAACAGTGAAAGTACATTAAAGTTGATTTTAACAAAAGGGGAAAAAAATAGCCACCAAATTTCACAGACTTCAACTGCCATTGTATGTGCCAGGTTTTTTTAATTTTCAAAGTGACCTCTGCTAACAGAACATCTCTCATAATTATAACCAGTGTAATTAGCTAATTATAATAACAATAACAATATTACAATAAAGATATCACTTGAAAAACAGAAAATAATCAAACTAGATAAAAACCCAAAATGAAAAACACTTATCATAATAATTTTGTTTTTTTTAAAAGAGATCTATAAGGTTCTATATTTTTTCATTGAATTGTCCTTTTTCTTTAGAAAAATGTATCCCACCAATGTATACTGTACTGTATGTCACCTCCACCTTCTAACTGAACGAGCTTAGCTTACCTTTAAAAATGCTTGGCAATGCCTGTCGTCCATTTAGCTCCCTGCTGCCATGAAATCCACTCATACACGATAACACTGAGATACAGTTGTGAAATAATCCCCTGCAAAGGAGCAGTCTTGATCAAAGGTTCGTGTCCTGTCTTTAATGGGTGATAACATTAGGGGTCCTGACTGCTTGAGAAATCAGAGCAGACGAGTCAGTATGGGCTGGACTGAGGAAGCCATTTTGAGGTCCAGGTTATTTCCTGCTGTTGCATGTGGAGTTCATTTAGTGGCACGCTGCGTCCATCCCACGGCCGTGCATTAGACAAAGTCCAACAGGATCAGTCACAAAACAGTGTCATATACAAATGAAAAAAATTATAATTTTCAGCTATTTGTAGGCACAAGTAGTAATAATAATATCCATATGAATGATAATAATGATAACATAATAACAATAATGTGTCATATCATAACTACGATACATTATTTGTTAAAACCGAATTTTTAGCCAATCTTGAGTACATTTTTGGAGAGGATCCTAAATTAGCATGTGCAAAACTTTAGCAGATACAGTCAAATATTGTTGATAATGAAATGTGTTCATCATTAAATAATCAATGATATGACAAATAAAGCTAAAGCTTGTTATCATTATTACCATACTGATCATTATTATTATTGCTCTAGCTACATTGTATACGAAATTATGAAGAGCTGTAGTTTTTATATCTTAAACAGAAGACGTAAATACCTCTCTTCTCCAATGACCCTGTTTATGTAAATGCAACAAGAGAGGAATACTTTGTGTGGCTACAAAAAAGTCGAAACCAAAATAAATTCACTTTGCCAGGATTTTGTTTTAGCTCCCTCTGAGCAGATGCCACTCTCCTATACGTGTCCTTATGCAGCACAGTAGGAGCGGCCATCTTGTTCCAATTTTGGAAAAGTTGTTACGAAGCGCTACTACAACAGCTGTGTGTACTTATTTTTTTAATATATTCTTCAGACATTGTAGTTTTCAGTCAGAAGATTAATAAAGATTCTTTATAATTTATTTCTTTGAATGAAAATATATTTACGGTATATATAATATGTACTTTCAGTCCTTTTTTATCTCTCAAAGTCCTTTTTGCCATGAGATTCGACATTGTCCCATTATAACCCACTCTGTTTTGCTTATCTTTCAAAGAAGACATTAGCCAGTAAGGTGTAAAAGGGAAAAGAGTGAGAAAGTGAGAGTGAAACCATCCCGAAAAAACAATAGTTTTTGATCTGTCTCCCTTTAAAAAACGAGTCTGATACATGCGTTTTGCACAGAATTGCTTCCTGGGAAGCACTAAATGCTGGGACTGTACCGCGCACCCAAACCATTGTTTGTTATTCAGTGGCTCTGCCAAGCACTAATCTGACAACATGTTCAATGGCCAATATTGTGTCTCCTTCCAAATATATACACTGTATGTGCCTGGAAATATATGAAGCAATCGGTCAAAAACCTAGAGAGGCTCATTGCCTGTGTATTATTCAAAGCTTTCCACTGTGGTTGTGGATGCAAACGAAACATTTGCTTGATCTTGGACTTTGGCAAAGACTATAGCAGGCTGCACAGAACACAGAATGATTCTGATGTTTGTGGTTAACATTATATCGTTTTTTTGTCTAATTTATTTGAAAAATATGTGTGGATGCTTTTGCAGGGACTAGTGCTGATCTGCCATCGTACTCTGTCTCCTTCAGTCCTCCTGTTTGCTTCTCTCTGTCAACAGATTGACAAGACAAAGCAGTGACTATGTGTAATATAATCTTCTCTGGAATCTGTCCATGAGGACAGTATAGGCTACAATTAGTCTCATATACTTGGTCTCACAGACTCTTTCTGTCTCACTGTCTCTACCAGCATCTCCTGACCTCTTACTTTCACTCTCACTTTAATCAAATTTGAGTCTCTTGCACATTTTCCTTTGAGCTGCTCTTAAAAAGCAGTGGCTCATTCTGGCATTTTCCCATAATTCCTTTCAGAGAACTGTGGAGACCCAACTGGGACACAGGGGATGTCAGGGTGCCACCCATGGGTGCTCCTCCACTGGTTGGAACCTGGGAACAAGACATGGAGGTGTTCTGAGACTGGGAGCAAGGCGAGGGGTTGTTGTTGTTGTTGAGTCCCATGCCCGTGCCCATGCCAAGGCTCATCATGTTGTTGTTGAAGTGATGAGTTTTGTAGTAGTGGTTGAGGTGCTCCGATCGTGCCAGGTTGGGCAAGTTGACCATCTCTGGATGGTGCAGCCTGAGGCTCTGTCCCCCTCCTATTCCACTGCTTCCACTCTGCGTCACTGTGGAGCCTCCTGAGATACCGCTGCCCCTACCACTGGCTCCGGCCCCAAGCTCATCCTCCACATTGATGATCTCGATGGCACGAGCAGGGCCATGGTGTTTATGCAGCTGGTGCTGCTTCCTCAGCTTGTAGAACACCACCAACATCACCGCTGCCATGAATGTGATGGCTACAAAGCAGCCAATGATGATCTTTGTGGTCTTCATCACATCATCCAGGCCTGAGAAGCCTGGCTCAGTGATGGGCACAGTGAACGTGGGTCGGGTGGAACGAGGAGAGGAGGAAGACCAGCCTGCGGATAGGGAGGAGGCTGTGGTAGAAACATCAGTCCACAGGTAGCTCGGGGGCGTGGGGACATGGATTATTGTATGATTGATTTCTGTAGGATAATCTCCATCTACTGGGGTCTCCACTGTTTCCACTGTGACTGTTGTAAAGTAGGTGTAGTTGACACTGGCATCAGCAGCAGTGACATTAAGGACAGCAGTTGCCGTGGTATTGCCAGCAGCATTGGTTACCATGCAGGTGTACTGGCCCGTGTCACGCAGGGTCACATTTGTGAAGTTAAGTGTGCCATCATGCAGGACAGATATCCGCACCTTGTAAGAGCCATGGGTCATTAGAGTGCCATTAGGGGTGATCCAGTTGACAGATGTTGTGGAGGTGCTTGTGCGACACTTGAGCTCAGCGGCCATACCCTCGGTAACATTGAGGTCTGTAGGTGGCTCCACAATGACCGGTGCATAGCAGGTGAAGTGGCTCTGGTCAAGCTCTCCAATGTACTTGCCCTTTAGGAATGGGGGAGCGTGGCAGCGGGCACAGCAGGTGGTGTTGCTCGGCACCGTCTCTTTCAACCACCAACTTAGCCAAAGGACGTCACAGTTGCAGATCCAGGGGTTATGGTTAAGGTGTACCCTCTCCAGCTGGTGAAGGGGTGTGAAGAGGTCATGAGGCAAGGAGTGCAGGGAGTTATGGGACAGGTTAAGCTCTTCCAGACTTTTTAGGTCATCGAAGGCGTTGCGCTCAATGACTGACACCTGTGAGTGCATAAGCCACAGCTTGCGGAGAGACACAAGGCCCTGGAAGGAACCGGGTCGGATGATCTCCAGTCGGTTTCCTGACAGCTCCAGCTCCTCCAAACGCACAAGGGCTGTCAGTTTGGGAATGTCCTTCAGCCCGCACATGCCCAGGTTAAGGTAGCGTAGATTGATGAGGCCAACAAAGGCTGCATCAGAGATGAAATCCAACTTCTTGAGCTCACCGAGGTCCAGGCGCCTAAGTGAGGGCACTCGGTGGAAGGCATAGCCTGGTAGAGTCTCAATGGGGTTGTTGCGCAGCCACAGCTCCCGCAACTTGCTGAGGTACTCAAAGGCGTGTGATGGCACCAATGTGAGGCGGTTGTCGAAGAGCTCCAGTGTGTTGAGGTTGGGGAGGCCATTGAATGCTCCGACTTCAATCTGACGGATCTGATTCTTTGAGAGCTGGAGAATCTCAAGGTGCCTCAAGTGCTTGAAAGTGTCTGACTTGATAACCTGAAGGGACAGAAAATCCTTAAGTTACTATACAAGTAGAATGATTTATGTAGATCACAAACATACAACTAAGTGTTTGTTACTAAGACAACTATGTGGTGACATTTGACATAGGAAGGTTTTGGAAGTAAAAAAGTGCACTATCAATTGTTTTTGTGACACACTCAGCATAACTTAACTTTCACTCTGTGGAATCAACTATATGTAAGCTTGCCTAAAAGAAAAACATGTTTTTATTTTATTTTTGAATAGCCTTATATTAGCATATAAACATTGACAGAAATGAAGCTCTTATAGTGATAGATTATTTAGTAAACTAGGTAAAGACATTGAAAACACCAGAAAACCATGTGAAGAAGAAAAAAACATTGTCAATTAAAGATTTACAGGCAAAATAGACAAAATCTATGTTAAATAAATTAACTGTGCAAATATAAATTATTAATGTCTCTGCTCATATCGGTTACAGTTGACCTTTCCACCCCACTGATTATTGCTGCTGTCTGCAGGGGAAGGTGGTCGTTTCAGACTGCCACTGCCTGCTGACAGCGACACCAGCCAGTTGAACATATGCATCTTACGGCCTGGGTTTTGACACTAAGGGTCACCCTGGACTCCATATTGGAGATCTCATGTTATGGACACAATAATATGTATCAGATGCTGGACTGAGAGTTGTACTTTCTTCCATCATAAGAGCGTGATGTATATACTTAAGGTTGATTGTGTTTTATTTTTTATTTATTTTACTGTTTGTATGGTCTTTATTTTGTATCTTTTTATTCTTGTAAAGAACATTGTGATATTGTATAAACTTAAAAAGACGTTACTTACTGAAAGAAGTCTGTACGGTAAAACCCAAATCCCTAACCGTGTCCCTTGTCTTGTCCCTTAGCTCTGGGTGAGTTTCAACATGATAATAACTTCTGAGACCTCAAGATTGTGGCACTGCTAATCTTTTGGGGCATACAGATGGTGAACAATTCTCTCACTTTATTTGTAGTTTAATGCTTTTATTAAAAAAACAAAAGCGCATGTTAAACACTAGACTTCAACTTTAAGAACTGTGTTAAACTACTGTAAACCCTGTCCTTTTATTGACCTTAATTCATTGCCTGCATGCTCCAGGCTCCAAATGCTTTTCACACTGTGACTCAGGGGACTTTCTACAGCCACAAATAATCCCTTGATAATTAGCTGATTGTCAGTGTTGACCAATAAATATGTTATTCTGCAGGGAGACATGATTATGAAAAGAAAAATGGTGCTACAGGCCCTGGACAGCACACACTAGCAATAATGCGACCAAACTGGAGCTCAGTTGGCAAAGACACCATGCAAGAAAGCAAGACTATAAAACCCCTTAAATCTCAAACTGTTTAAGATCATACAGTCTATGTTTGAGAATTGTTTGGCGAAAGCCCTCCGTAAGACACACGGATACAGGCCACTGCCTCTTCTGTATGTAGAGCAGGAGCGAAGAGGGGAGAGAGAGAGGGAGGGGTGGAGATGTTAAGAGGGGGTGGGAGCTGTCAAGGCTTTACTCTCAGGGTACTCAGTGAAGGAAAAAATAAGCCAGAGAATCTAGGATGCCTTTAGGTGTTAAAACATTTTTAGATTTTTAATCATTTCAAGAGCTGCTGCAGGATACAACAAACCAAATCGGAAATTGTAGGCTCAAAACGAAACCCAACGAATATCCTCACAATTTCTTAAATGTGTCTTTCATGTGAACAGTATCCCTCAAAAACTCACAAACCAAATCATGTGGCATAATGTCCCTTTTATGCTCTGTTAACATCACATAATGTTTAATAAGGTGTTTTTTACGAGGAATAAAGGGACATAACTAAGACTGCTCTGTCCAACGATTGTGATGAAAGATGCACTGGACAATTTTAACAACGTTTACCATACTTGTCACTTGTCATTACAGAAGAAAAAAAATGGTGGGCATTTATTTAAAAGAACAAGACATTGCAATATAAGGAGCGATCCAATTACTTCAAATGCTGCTGCAAAGAGTAAAATCGACCAACTCTGTTCATAAATGTAGAGATTTTCATTGCATTTGTGGTCTGTGGGTAAATGCTCTCTCCAGCGTTGTCTAGGGACACTAGATAAATTGGTAATGCATACAAAAGGGGAAATGGTGTCATGAAAAAAAGCCTTGCTTTCAATTCATAAAATATTCCCTCAGTTCAGCTGGGGCTTGAGTTTTTTTTTCTACCATTATCTACCAGAATTAAAGTTTTGAAGAGAAAACTAACAAGTTAATCCTAATGTCCACAACTGGCTGCAAGAGCACACATTACCTCTGTATATATGGCAACAACTAAATGCATACACAAGGGTTAAAGACACATTTATCATATGTCTCCGTGTGAACTTATTTATGCATGTGTGCTGTTTGAATCCACTATCTAGGATCTCTAACTTTATGAATAGCAATAATGATAACAGAGGAAAATATATAAAATGATCTGTCGACATTTGCATGTTTTAGTTTGTGTCATTTCTGCTGTGATGTAATTCGTAATTATACATTGGTGGAGGGATGGGTAAATACAAAAAAACCACAATTTAGATTTACAGTGATGATACTACAAATATATGTACTTTCTCTGAATTAAAAGCTGGGTTTGTTGTGATAGAAACCTCTGTATATTATGTGCCCTTGTGTAATTACATACAACTCTTTCCTTATGTATTGTCATGCCAAGTATCATGTGTACTGTGCACAACACAAATCAACAATGACAATGAGCCACTTTGTACCTGTATGGAGTTTTCCTGCAGGTTGAGGTATCGTGTGTTGACTGATATGCTTTCGGGTACCTCATCCAGGTTCTGCCTGGTGCAGATGACTCGGCTGGCCTGGTTGGAGCAGGTGCAGAGGGAGGGGCAGGCGGAGGCGGCTCGCACCAGCTCCGGCCCAGCGTGGAGGAGCCGCAGTAGCAGCTGGGCCAATAGAAAGAGGAGGGGGGAATGGCCGGGAAGGCAGGTCAGCGTGGCGATGCGCATGGCAACTGGGACATGACCCTGCTCTTTAATCCGAAGGTACAGGTGAGGTGACTCCACGCTTGTGGATCTGCGAGAAAATGTTTTATTTACCCTTTGGTCCTCCAGTGGCAAGTGGTTCTTTCTAATTCATCATCCTCTGAGATGTTATGTGTCCTCTGCCAATCCCTGTGTTTTTTCCTTGTGTTTTTTGAACATAGAAACATGCAGATACACAGAAGTTTCTCCCTTTTTTCCTGCGTTGTCTGGAGATTTGAGTGAGGATTTTTGTGAAGTGAGAAGAACCCAGGAGTTACTGTGGAAGAACAAAAGAGAGGGGGAGAGGGGGGGAGGGGGAGAGAGCAGATATTAGAGGCAGAACACAGACTGTGCTACGTTTCCACAAACAAATGCGCATGGCTATCATTTGTTCTAACAAATGAATAGAACAAATAATAGGTAGACATCTACAGTGGTTTATCATGGGAGGGATGTCAAATCATTAGGACTTCTGTGTCACTGCTCATATCAAATCCCACATAATCCCTGAGCAGACGTTTTGTCAGAAATAAAACCCTCACCCAGGGCAGGTGAGCCGATTCCTGTAATGAATGGAAATAGGGAAATAGGGAAATTATGACATCGTGTTTTTTTCTTAGCATGCAAACATTAATAAATGAGAGACATTCATTTTGAAACATTGGTGTAATTGTTATGATCAATTGAGTACTATCACACACAGTCAAGCAATGAATGGCTGCATTCAGGTTCCACTCTGGTTTCCAGGGCAGATTTGATTTTTTTGAGGTTAGGTTTAGGGTTAGGAGTAAAAATATTGGAATTATTTATTTAGAAAACTTCTAATTAACTGATTAATTATACAGACAACAAAATGGTCATTGCAGTCCTTTATTCAGACAGATGCGTAAGGACAATTATATAAAAGTATTATAAGAAGGAGCTGATAATTGTTACCTGAATTCAGTAATGGGTCTAATGACAGTTACTTAGTTTAATGATATGATATGAAATAAATAAACAATACATTTGTGAATTTCTGACTAACACATGTTAAATACTTCCACATAAATGACTTTAATGATTCATTTATTATCAAAATAGTCTTAGATAAATGTTCTCTTAAATAATTGTCTTATCACTTCAGCACTAATTAGGTTTGAAAAGATCAAATATGTGAGGAAACCCATGGATCAAATATTTCTGGGTTTAAAACGAGAATTCCCTGCTTACAAAGTCTGAAACAACATAGATATTACTGAGAGACTTGCATTCTTTCAGTGCAAACAATTGGTTTCTTGCAATGGCCAATAATGGAAGAACAGAAGAAAAAAAGAACCTTCTGTTCAGTGAAAACAAGCTAGTCAGTGACAAGAAGCAACAGGGTTTATGGGACGTGTGGTCTTGATTTTGACAAGCATTTATAACACTCCCAGTGTGAGATAGAGGCTTGCACTCATCTCAGAAATGGCTTGATCTTTTAACGCTAATTATACCAGATATGACTATTTATACAGCCACGATATTGATGTTTGAACATGCTTTCAACTTTTGGTTGAATCAAACTCATAAAAGCAAGTCCCAAACATTGAAGACAACAAGAGGCTGAATCGGTAAGCAGTTCCACTTTTTTTTTTTTTGCAGTAGCATAGACGCGGTGGTTGGACTAAAATGCTAATTTCATTCCTGCGCGAGCACAGCCTTGCATGCTCTGGGGGCTGGAGAATGGTAGCGAATGGTGCAGTCTGCATTAACACTTATAGATGGCCGACTCAAGTCAGGCTCCACCAGCCGCTCTCTCCCTCTGCAGGTTATTTAGACCTGAGTAACCTTAATAAGGGCATCCAGCAATCTAGATACGGTTATTAATGATGATGGTTGTAATGATAGGACTTTGACACGCAAACTCATTTGACACGCTTTGCATCCTCACTTGGCACAGTAAGAAAGCGGGGAAGGGGTAAAGAGAGAGACAGAGAATGAGAAGAGGAGAAGGATTATTAATCTGATAGATGACTGTATGGCTGCAGGCAGAGAAGGGAATTATCAACACTACAGTAATAGATGAATACTGAACAGCTGCAGAGAGCGGACCGGAGAAAGAGAGAGAGAGAGAGAGAGAGAGAGAGAGAGAGAGAGAGAGAGAGAGAGAGAGAGAGAGATATTGAGACAGATGGAGGGTAGGTTGAGTGAAAGGGATGATGAGGGATCAAGAGCCAGAGAGAGGTATAAATAGTGGGAAGAGCAGAAAAGAGATCAGTAGTAAAAGAAAGATAAAAAAAGGTAAAATACGGAGGGGAGAAGAAGAGACACATTAATATTAATAATCTCTTGCTCAGTGAGAGAGTAAGAGAGGAAGAGGGGAGGAAGGCTCAATAGAGAGATGAATATAAAACAGACAGAGATGGAGGGAGGGGAATGACAACACATATAAAACAGAAAGCGACAGAGAGATGGAGGTAAGAGACAATACAGCAGGAGGAATATGAAACAGGTGGAGATATAGACAGAGAGGGAGGGGGGGAGAGCTGGGGCGGGGTGGGTGGGGGCAAGATTGATCAATAATGCGTACGCAGTAGTTCAATGACATTAAAACACACACAAGGACACTGTGATGAATCATATCGGCAGCAGCATCTTGGATCAGACCGAACAGGACAGCATAGTGGGACAGAACACTGCCCCATGCAGCAGGCAACGGACCAACTGCCCCCCCCCACACAGTCAACAATGCAACTGTCATCAGGACCAGCAGCTTGCAACATGCTCCTCATCTGGATCCCGACACAGATGGCGGCACCGACGGATTAAGAGTCAGTCAAGTGTTATTTTTGGATCGACTCTCACCTTTTAATGTTTTTTAATTTCTACCCACCTTTCTTTTCTTTTTGTATCTACCAGCGAGAACTAAGTGCTAGAGCTATTTGAGGTAGACAGCATCTGAGCAGAGTGGAAAGGTGAAAGAAGAAAAAAGAAAAAGTGAGCAGGTGGAAGCAGAGGCTGAGGGTAGGATGGTGCTCAGATGCTGAGGGGAGGTGACGAGCGAGGGTCCACAGAGGAGACGGAGACTAGTTGGATGTGACAGCTGGTTAGAGGCGGGTTGATTGTGTTCGGCCTCACTGCTGTCACTTTCCACATGTACACAAGTCTCACCTGTAACTGTTCCTCCTTCTCCTCCTTCTCAACTTCCTCTCTCTGTTTCCCTTGATATATCTCCTTCTATGAATGGAGGAACACTCATCTCTCCAAACACTTTGTGCACCCCCGACTCTCCTCCCCTCCCAGCTGCCTTACACCTTTTTCCTCCTTACTAACACTTGTTTCCTGGACCTCCATTGACCCCCCCTCCCCCTCCCCTACACAACACACTGTAGGGTTGAATCGAGGGGGTAAATGCAGCAATGACCTCGCAGTTTGATGAAAGTTTATGTCCATGATGCATATTAACCTTTAGCCCCCCCCCCCCCTTCGTTCTCTTTTCAACTACACACACACACACACACACACACACACACACACACACACACACACACACACACACACACACACACACACACACACACACACACACACACACACACACACACACACACACACACACACACACACACACACACACACACACACACACACACACACACACACACACACACACACACACAAGCTTCCTTTCCCCCTTTTGCTCTCTCTCTCTCTGCATTCAAATCTTAGCCAACTGAGTTACCATGGTTACCTATTCACCACAGTGTCCCACTCTGTCCAGCTGTATACCAATTCCACATCCACCCCTCTCCACCGCTTCCTCCCCCGTCATTAGCACCCTATACACACTCGTATACGGACCAAACATGAGTGTGAATGACATCAACTATCCCAAAAACCTTGAGGCTTGATTACAGCAGGCTTTTACTGTTTTTAGCGCTGACGATGATGATGCCGTGACCCGCACTTTAATTTGTCCTGTGTGTCGCCACAAATGACAAGTACCCACAAATCACCAGTGCAAAGGTCAAGGTCATCTCTCCTCAGTGATGATTAAGGGCCAAAATAAAAGGTAAGTACACTGAGATTGTGGCTAGTAAAAAAATCAATTTCAGTAATTTAAAAGAATAAATATAATTAAAGAGCTAAACAAATGTGTTTGTAAGAGTCGGCTCCTTAAACGCCTTGAACTAAGCAACAAGTTCTCCAAAAATATATAATTACACAAACACAGACTTTACTATTGGCAGGACAAAGGATATAGATGGAAATTATTCTTTAAAAATAAATAACGCTACAGTAAGTACTCGGTTAGGTTTATGCACAAGAACCATTTGGTAAGGTTAAGGTAATGTTAGGGAAACATTGGGGGCTTGGGTTGAAATGACTTTATTTCTCTTGAGTGTTTGAGCTCCACTGTGCACAATGATGTATGAGCAGAGTTAGATTCAAAAAGCCTGTTTTCATATTAATCTTGCTCAGCTTAAATCTCAGTTTAGGAATTTGACATATTGACATTATAGTGTGGAGAGACATTTTAGTTAAATATCAATAAGTAAGCTACTGATGTGGAAATACACTGAGAATGAACTTTTTAAGTAAAGAAGGTGACAACTTCCTGCTGGGGTTACACTTTAATATAACTGATCATATTTGCATATTTGTGTGAAATTAAATAAGTCGTTGTTTTATTTTTGTGTGTGGAAAAACTTAATGAAAGTGTTTTTTCTAATGTATTTCTTAATACATGTTAGAACAGAGTTTAACTTTGAATGTAGCTTATTTTGTCACAAAAATGGCTGTTATACAAACTATTAACTAAACCATGTTTCCTATGTTTCCAATAAAGAGGTAAAAAATAAATGGTTGTATTATATTCCATCATAGACCTCATAAGTATGCATTTACTTTTAAACAGTTAACTATCACGGCCTTGATTTCTTTTGAGCTCAGATTGTTTTCAAATGGTCTCCACTGCATTACCACAGAGTCATATATATATATATATATATAATCATGTTATAATAGTTTAAATAATATTTTAATATTTAATTATACATATTCATGGTTTTCTCCCCTTTAATTGTAGACCAAGAATGTTCCCAGTGTTCCTGTAAAATGTTCCCGAGTAGCTTCGAAGTTGAATAAAACATTTTCCCACACTGTTGGACAGCATTACATATACAGTATATTCTCTGTTCTATAAGATATTAAATTCAAGACCAATTTTTTAAAGCTGTATGATTCCATCAAATAAAAAATTCTAGACGCCCCATGAATACTTTTACACATACAGTACTTCACCGTAATTCAGTC